AACATCAATGATGAGAGAGCATCATTGATCGGCTGCCTCCTGCACGCCCCACACTGGGGATCGAGTCTGCAACCCGGGCATGTGTCCTTGACTGGAATCGAACCCGGGACCCTTCAGTCCGCAGACCGACACTCTCTCCGCTGATCCAAACCAGCTGGGGCAGGACATTGTTTATGGTTCTTCCTAGAGCTGAGATACTAGACCAGGGGTGGGCAAACTTTTTGACTCGAGGGCCACAATGGGTTCTTAAACTGGACCGGAGGGCCGGAACAAAAGCATGGATGGAGTGTTTGTGTGAACTAATATAAATTCAAAGTAAACATCATTACATAAAAGGGTAGGGTCTTTTTTTTTTTTTTTAGTTTTATTCATTCCGGCCCGCGGGCCGTAGTTTGCCCACGGCTGTACTAGACAGTGTCCTTCACTTCAGCTTTCCTGTAAATGCAATGCGGGGCTCCTCAGAGATCCCTTTGAGAATAGACCACGAGAGCTCAGCGGGCACAGGTTTTCATGGGACCATAACAGTGAGACCCATCGACCCAGGCTTACTGCAGTGAGGATTAATCTAGAAACAAAACCTCAGTGGCTTAAGGAAATGGAAAGATTGCATGGCACTCAAAGGTCCTGTGTGACCACGTGGCTGAGCTGGTGTTTGAGGTCAGGTTTGGCAGTAGGCAGTGTGGAAAGTGCTGTTGTCTGCTAAGGTTGTTGGGGTCCCAGAGGCTTTTCTTTACTACATCCTCCTCTCTAAGATAGAACACTCTTTCCTGTGTTCAAAGCCACTTCCTACTGCCTCATCTCTTATAACCTTCCAAACACACATCGTTGTATATGTGGTCCATCGTTGGCCAAAATGTTGTTATGTAGCATGTGACTATATTTGTGTTTCTTGAAGGCTGCTGTTTACTTTCTTGGTCTGCTTAATGACTTGAATAGTCTCCTGTTCTTTGGACATGTTTTGGAAAAATGCTTTATTCCTCCTAATGTATAAAATATATTTAATATGTAGTGTCTTGTAATTATACTGTCTGCATTTTTTTTTCTGGGTGATTCTGATGATGGCTATCAAGATTGACAGTAAATGCAGGAATGGAATATGTGTTAGTTACCTTGATATTAGTAGTATATATTTAGTGCCTGGCAAATATGTGCCTTTAAAAATATATATGCAGCCCTAACTGGTTTGGCTCAGTGGATAGAGCGTCAGCCTGCGGACTCAAGGGTCCCAGGTTCGATTCCAGTCAAGGGCATGTACCTTGGTTGTGGGCACTCCCCAGTGA